AATTAAGGTACCCTTCTGTGTCGAAACATTCAAGGATGTTGAACATTACTGCCCTTCTTGCAAAGCATGGATTGGCACCTACAGACGTCTTGGAAAAAGCACTTGATCATTTCGTTGTCGGATTCTTTATGATCACAAAGATGCATTTATTTTATGTCAGCACTAGAATTACGATAAAACAAAAATAAAAAGATGTTTTTATCTCGCCAAAATTACCCGGCACTGCATAATACATACTTATAGGGATTCTGAAAGATTTCACTGCACAGCAGTCTAACCCATCTGAAAGCTAACGAGAATAGAAAGAAAGAGAGTACAAACAACAATAGTGTCAGATATTATGCAGTAAATAACATATGCAATAGAAATCTGTGGAAGCTCGAGACTTAGCAAAGTAGCATTAGGCCACAACAATATAAGGTAATGATAGGCCCGTCACTAGAACATAGTACACGTCCAAAATTTCATCAATCAGAGCTGCCTTAGTGATGAGAAAGTTGACTGGGCTGGTTTGAAAACGATAATGGTAGAACTAATGATATTACTCATAGCTGGTGACAGGAATGAATGATAAACTATTGAGCAATAGGCATCAGAGACAATTAAAGCTAGCAGGAATGCTTTCAAGTCTCACAAGATAGTTAGGAAAAAAATAAAAGTGGATAGTGGCGAACATTCCGATTGCTTCAAAAAAGAAGCGCAGTTTTCAGTGGCCAATACAGCCACTTTCGCAAAGAAGTTGAGGGTCGCCAACTCTAAGAGTGGAAATAAAATATAGAATAGCAAAATAGCAGCAAGAAGACTGAAGAAATTGTGAGACCTAGCATGAAAATGGGGCATTATTATATATGTGCAATATTATGAATGAGATAGCTTGTGCATGAAATTCCACTAAATTAAACACGGTTGAAACGACCAAGATTACGCTTGCAGGCAGGACATGAGTGGACGACATCCAGGCACTGATCTACGCAGAAGGGAAGACAGCAGAAAAGCCAGGGGACGAGAAACAAGAAGAAGCCAAGAAGAACCAAGACGCCGCAAAGAATCCAAGGTAGACTGCCAGCCACACGCTCGATGTGTGACACAATGTGCGCCTGGAAACATATATTTGATTCCAAACTCTGGACTAATAAGGGAGGTTCGCGGAGTCCATAAGGCCGGATGAAGTGTAACATTCTGTATGGATTAGCATCATATTAACACATTGACGACCGCGCGAGTTTTTGATTGTCTGCC